TTCAGCTTTTTCAACAAATTGGGAAAAGATCTTTTGAAATATTGTTCCTTTAATATTAATGTTTTTCATGAATGGGAGAGTACATGCTTGATAAATTGAATCTTTTGAGAATATTTTTGTCCTTGCTTACGATTGTTGTTACAAGTTTAAAACCTAAAAACTTGCTTTCACTAGAAAATATTTAGCATTATTCTTCTGCAAAACTTTCTTCAACATCCATCGAACAACTCATAATACAAAACAGTCTTAGCCCACTCTTCAATAAAGAGCACATCAATAACCAATTGAAGTTTTACATCCTGAATTCTGGTTTTGATGATATGAACTATGTAAAACCTATTTATTCCCCTTATTCATGGGTATTTTATTTCCAAGGGAATGTATTTGAGTTTTTTCACTCTTGTTTCCTATTGTTTTCTTCAAAAAATTGAGTACAGTTAAGTCAAAGATAGGGGTCATATTAGATTGATGATGGTTTTGTTGGACTCTTGTTGTGGTTGAGAATGGTGTGTGCCATAGTTTCGACATAACTTTCGCCGAAGATATAAAATTCTATCAGTATTGGAGGAATCTCTCTAGCCATATGGCCAAAGTGAGTCCCATACCAATTGCTTAAAAAAATAAAATAATGTCTAAAAGTTATTGTCATTGAGAGACAATAGCAAAATTGATGTTGTTAGCGACAAGTTACTAACACCGTCATATAAAGGATGACATTGAACCTATTTTTAGCCATAGAGGGAAGACAATGAACTCAATAGTTGAAGTACAAGGATGACAATGAACATTTCCTTAGTACAAGGATGGTAATGAACAAAATATAAAGGTAGAGAGATGACAATTCGGTTTAACCCAGCATTTTAGTCAATTTAGATTGATTATCTCTAATTCATGATCTCCTACTGTCCTCTTCTCTTCAATTTAAACCAATGTTTTCAATACTTTTGCACCCTTGTCCTCATCTCTCCATAGAACATTATCATTTCAATTCCTTTTCACAAATTTTCACCAATAAAAATTTGATT